CTGTATGGGTGTCCTTTGACACCAGAAAATAGGCTTCGACATCAAGGTAAAGACACCACACACACACACACACACACACACACACACACACACACACACACAGGAACCATGGATGTTAGTTAGCCTGGAAGGCAAAGTGGATCCTGCTTTTATTTTGATGGTTCCTCACAGATGGTCTCTTGATGTTGCAGCAGGAGATCAAGTTTCAGGAGCATGAATGAGGTCCACGTCTGAGCTATTAGAGCACACAAGTGGTATTTACGCCCAGTATGTGAGCCACAGAATTAATTAACAAATTAATACAACAGGTGCCGGAAACTTCAGCTCCGTTCTCAGCCGGTTCAGAGTCGCCTCTTTACTTGGAGTCGTTCTTATTTTCAGTGACAAATGTTTGTTGAAACACATCCTTGTGTTTCTTCACAAGCAGCCATCCTGGCTTCCTACTCCATCTAGCCATCTACCCATGAATAGAGAAAGTCTAAATATAAATAATATATTAATAGTAAGCCGGTAGATTTGGCACAGGATCCTGGCCTGTAAATCTCTCATTGTTTCTGCCGTAACAGAGTGACCTCATCATCTTTGCCAGGCCCATTAGCTTTCTGCACAGACCTCCGGGGACCAGTCCATTAACCCCTTACCTGCTAAGTAAAGTAGCGTTAAGTGAAACGCTGAAACACATGAAGCAATTGGCAGTTTATTGAGATGTAACTGAGCACAGGAATCAAATATGGTGCGACTGTGGTAAGAAAAGTGAGAGAAAGTGGAAAGACATGAGCAGAAAACCTCCAAAGGTGACATCTAGTTCCTAGAAAATGATTTTCTTTTGCTACATTGCTGCTACCCTCCACTGTGTGGTACCCTGGAGGCAGGTGAAGGAAAGCCTCGGCTCCCAGCGAGGACCAGAGACAGTGGGATTGACATTATAGGAGGCTCCATAAGGCCGGCTGAGCTTGGGTTACACATAAACTATAGTGAAGGAGAGCCACTTTGGCCTCTAATTGGTGGTAATTAACCCTCTATGGTCATTGTTCCTGTCTTATTGTGTTTTAAGAGGAGAGGTCAGTGAACATGGGAGCCTTCTCCACTCTGACAGGTAGATGACGGGCACAGATTGAATGACCGCAAAATATTCTGATGGGCTAGAAGACAGCAGGCATTCACACGGGCTTCGTTCAGCTAATTATTTCTTTCTTCCCACAAATGAACATCACTGCTGATGACAGGAATGTTGATTGAGATGTTAAGAAAGCACCGTAAATCAGATGAAAACTGCATTTCCTGAAAAGATTGTTAGAACTGCATTGCATTCATTTTTACAATTCTCTTAGGTTTTTTGCCTCACTTGATACATAATACAACAAATTTGCGAACAAAGAAGCAAAGAGCAAGACCAAACCTTAGAAATATAAATAATGCACAATAAAGTATTGAACACAACGTGCTACTGAAGTGATGCTTAAAGTAGTGATTTAAAAAGCAGATGATAAACATGATGACCTGTCAAAGGAAATATTGGAAT